TTTTTTTTTTGACAAAAAATGATTATCTCCATTAGAAATTTATTACAAATAATGAGTATGAGTCGAAATAAAGTCGACTTTAATATTAAGTGCAGCTTTTTCCTCGAAAATTATGTCAAAAAGCTATAACTATGAATATGCCCCAATAAGTTTCGAAATGTAAAATAATGAAAGTCTATATATACATGGTATAAACGATTTGAATTACTTGAAGACCCTTTTTTCGGCTGTGACACTTTTTTGCGACTTTCAAACAATTTTTCAGCGGTAACACTGTGTTAGACAACGAATTATCCTTGTCAAGCTTATTAATTGTATGGTGAGATCTCAAAAAAAATAAATAAATTAATCGTGTTATGTGTACTTTCCATTTTTCAGTCATAACATGGCTGAAGTTAACAAATGTAAATTCATTTTAACTAAACTGCTGTGGAACAAAGAACAAATAGGAGACATTCTTAAACATCCAAAATGCTTGTTGTGGTGGCTACAGTGCTATTTGGCAAACACCAACGATATTTTCATCGGACTGAAAGATGCGGACGGTGTTGTGCGGGTTCCGGCACAGATTCAGAAAGTAAAAGATATGCCAAAGGTAAAATAGCAAAACCAATTAAAAAATGCAATTACTAAATTAAAATATGTTTTCTTATATTTTTTAGAATCAGCATTGGAAACCGCACATTTGTATACGATTTTTACATACCCTTTTAGTTAAGATGGAAGAAGTAATGGCCAGCGTGAATTGTCCCTACACGGTCTACAAATTTGTGTATGACTCTTATTCAAGATGTATGAAATTCAAAATTTACAAAGGAAAGTCGGAATACTCTTTCTTATCGGAAAAATATATAAAACATTGCAAGGAAAAAACGAAGCACGAATAATTTTGTTTAAAAACTTCAAAGTTAATTTTTACAATGCATTTTAACATGTTATTACTAATCTAGTTAATGAGTAAACAACGTTTATTCATATACGCAACAATCTCATTATAAATTTCATAATATACTCTATACATAGTTAAATGTTAATTAATATACATACATATTTACATACGTATAAGACTGTGTCAAATAAGGACTAATGTTTTTTTTCCTTTTGGTCCCATATCATAACTTCGTTGTCGGTGCAGAAAAATTTCAGTTAGCGCTCGCAAACATAACTATTTTTAATGAAAAATACTTTTGCGCTACTTTTTTTAGTAAAAATTAAATATAACAAAAAAACATGTAGCCCATTCAATTCGGGTATAATAAGTGCAAGTTTGAAGTAGCTAGGACTTATTGTTGTGCTTTAGCTTTTTTTGTTGACAGTGTCAGTTATTTTCTTCCATACAAAGTGGGTTTATGAAAAAAAATGAAACCTTAAATTTAATTGGCTACAAGGGTGTTTTTCTTTATTTCTTATAGTTAATTGTTTATTAAAAAAAGTAGTGAAAAAAATTGTTTTCTTAAAAAATTCTAACTTTGCGAGCGCTATCTGAAAAATTAAGAATAGAGGCTGAAATTTTGCCACGACAATTTTTTGTGCCCGACAGCGAAATTCCATATGGGACCGAAAGAAAAAAATAGTGTGTAATGTACACATATGTATGTCTGTATGTAAGCATGCATAAATATGTATTGTCCTTAAACTCTATTTATATACATATGTGGGTACTTTCACATAATTATCTTATTTTGAAAAAAAAAATTAAAATAAAAAGGTTTACTGAACGCAAAGCCATAGATACATGAGCAATTTTCAATTAGTTCGAACTATCTCATGACTCGATAGTTAGTTAGGACACATAATTTTCGCTCCTTTATTAACAAAAATCTGGTAATATATCTTGTGTAGGTTATGTAAGTAACAAAACAGAACTACACAAATAAAAGCGTGACTCTCCTATTATTTTTTCTATTTTACGTTGCAAAATTTGGTGCGTTGATTGTTCATGTTTGAGCTTAAAATCAGCTGCAATCCGTTAGAAGTAGGTGCTTGCAATGGAAAAGATGTTCTGAAGAGTACAAAGTGGCGTGACTCCTTTGGTTTGAAATTCTGATAATCGTGGCTTTTATAGTACACTGTGGCTGGTGCGTACCTAAAACTGTTATCGGACAGCTTGTATAGTGTATTCGTTACCGAGTAAGGGTTACAACCCCTGACCCGAAATACCGAAACGTTAATCACAAATAATCTCGGTATTCGCATTTGATGTACATATGTATATCGTTACTATATCGATAGCTGAGTGGAAGATCGACCTATCTCGACAGCCAGTTAGAAAACGCCCTAACTCAGAAAATTTTTCTTGACAGTTTCAATACCAATCCCTTGTTAAACTCACATACAAAATGCTACCGAAATTATCCTTTCAGCAGACCTTCGAGGTAATAATTTGTAAAGGGCACAGAGTTTATACTTGCATTAAAAGCCCTGGACTCCTTCAAAACTACATCTAGGTCTGATGACAACGGCAAAACTCTACTCAACTAGTAAGGCACGCATATTTGGTCCTTCTGAAAGAGAATTTAACTAAATAACTTAAGAACTTAGCTCAATAAAGTTATGTTCCAACTCATTTTCGTTGTTGGTGTTTCCGACAGGGTATGAGTACGACACGCGATTTGTCCAAAACTAAATTTAAAAGGGATTACGGAAAATCTTGCCACAATTGACATATGTTCCAGCATTATACAAAATTTTACAGAAGACTCAGAAAATTTGTTTATTAACTATACTATATTTTTTGCATATTGGTAACTATTACAGCTATGGGCAATGTGTATTTGTAAAATACTTGGATGCACGTTTCGGTACACAAAAAATGATTATCATATTGTGCGGGAAAGAAACAGTTCTCAGCAGGGGCGGATCCAGAAAATAAATTGCCGCTCATTTCGTGGCCTCGGCCTTACGGACACACCTCACAGAAAATTTCTGCCCAAAATACTTCTCTCTCTACTTTCAGTGCCAGATCATGATGTCATACGATCCATTAGCTTCGTATGCCTACAACGGAAGCATTCAGTAACACCACGAACATACGCATAAAGATAGCCGCTGATAAGGCAAGTCCAAAGTCTAGTCATTCTAACAAAAGCCCGTTATTTTCAGAATTAATTCTTAAGGATATAACGATCAAAAATTGTCGAAAAAAAAAAATTTAAAACACGATTATTTTTGATAAAAGAAAATAAAAATCACAAAATTACGATTAAATTTGACCGAAAAACAACCAAATTGAACGATTATTCTTAATGGAAAAATAATGATTTTGCAATGATTTATAAATAAAAATCTTGCTATTTAA